CTCTCCCACAAAGTACTGCCTCCCTTTTCCTGCAACAGGAACATCAGTTACTTGATGAGTTAAAGTCACCAGTTGTACATCTTTCCAGAAACTTCAAGCACTTTGAAATACATGCTTCTGGCATCTTTTTGCATCATTTTTTTGAAGTGTAGTCACCTCTGCTTAAAAGTGTGGATGTTAAAAACCAAACATGTTTCTTATTACAGATTCGACCCCACATCACAACTCTGCGTAAATACACCTATGGTAAACACATTCTGGCCAAGCTGGAAAAGTATTACCTGAAGAACAGTGCTGATCTGGGGCCAATTGGTGGACCACCAAATGGGATGCTGTAAAAGACAAAGAGAAATGGAAGAAAAATTAAATTGTGAATTATCAAAACCTACAACTTAACTCTAAATGTTCTGATTTTTTTAAATCTATTTATTGACTTTGTTCATCCATTTGTAAAATTTTTATTCTTGTGTATATTTTTGGGGAGTGAATTGTTAAAAAAAAAACAAAAAAACTATCTCCAGCCCTGATCCAGGGACCTATCAGATTGGATGGCTGGCAAAGCACAGAATGCCTGTATATGATGTAATTGTATCAAAATAGCTGTCACATATTTTGTAAATTTTTACCTTGTAAAGTCACTGAAATAGTTTTTAAAGGGAAAAAGTACAGTATTCTTTTAATACACTGGCTTGCAATCTGGTAGGTCTACCCAGCATCATAGCACAACAGGTTTATAGAGTTGTATATAGAATTAATCCTTATTTTTCCCTTTTGTGTGAAGTCTTTTATACCAGACTAAAATTGATCAGCTGCATAAACATTATTTAACATGTTGAAAAGTTAAGTTGTATTTTGGTGGTTCACAACATCCTATCCAAAAAACAAACAGGGCACAGCAAATTAAAGTAGGGAAGAGCAAAATGATGGAAATTTTAAAAGACCAGTTTTTGGCACGTGCTGTGGATACAGGTTTTTTTAAATCATGCGCTAAGGTTTTCTCTAGCGATGTATTAAAAATAAAGTGCTGTATATACTTATATATTTAATTGTTGAACAAGGTAGAGGGGTTAAAATGATGGTGGTACTTCCATTCAGCGAACTACTCTGTTGGAAAAGGAGTGAACCCTGTATTAACTTTACAGTCAGTTTTACAACGCAGGAAGAGTAGAGATATGTATTTTTTTATTTTGCATATAGAATTGTAAGGATTTGAAAGTGTTGAGCATTTATTTTGCTTTCTCACTGTAGATGCGAAAAATAGGTAATGATAAAGAGAAGGGGCCACTGAAAAGTAAACTTGATAGCTCAACATTTAAGCATGATTGATTAAATATTCAGATAGCTTTTTGCTTCCTATAAATATATGCATTGTATACGTGTAGTTAATAGGTGTAAGTTTACAGTTTGAAAACAAATCTCTCATTTCGATGTTTATTACAAAGCCTTGCTAATTTAGTAGTGATGCTTACCTTGGTTGTACAGATGTACATTTGTAAACCTTCATGCTGTAAATGTAATTTGTTTTACTCCTTTTTTGGGACAAAAATTTGCATTTTAGTGTATATTCATATCCCAGTTCCCTTCTTTCCCCCTGGCATATAGTGTTGTATAATGTAAATTTATTTCAGCAAATCTAAAGTGATTTTTTTAAAATTCTATCTTTATATGGTTTCAAAAATATGAACCGGCTTTCTTTTTATCTATTGTGAGAAACATTATGTTTTGTTTATAACATAACTGTTGAATCTGTTCATATGGACACTTTGGGAAATCAATCTGTTCAAATTTTAAATCAGGATAAATAAGCATAGTAAGAAGTGGACTGAAATATTTGGTTATCACAGAAACCAATGCTTCTTCCATCTTAATAAATGTGGCATGATTTTTTTGTACAGAAGAGTACTGTATTTTTGAATAGCCTTCTCGCAGCGTAAAGCAAATATGTATGATACTGTCGATTTTTTTCTCTGGACATATGACATTGTAACAGTAACATAAAGATGATGTACATATACAAGCGGCCTTATGTACATTTCCCAATGATCTTTTTAAGGCAGAATTGTGACCATATGTGTATAATTAAAATCCTTTTTAATCCTTTGCCTATGGAAATATTTTGGAAAAAGCTTACTTTGTATATTCAGTTTCTGAAAGATAAAGAAAGTGCTTTGTATGTTGTTGAAGTAAGTATTTTGTGTAAAATGTTCATTTGGATGGCTTAACCTAAAGTTTTGATCAACATGGTAGTTTGGAAACAACGTCTTGAGCATTGATCAAATAAAAGGCTGTTTTGGTAGGGGTGTGATCATGAGAAAGAAAATAGCAGTGGTATAAACTTGTTTGAGGAATTCTGTCATGTTACTGTTGATACCAGGGTTACATAACTGTTACTAAAGCAGACATCTGAGGCGCTGCATTTCTAATGGTAGTGATAACTCCTTAATAGGCAAATGGGAAAGCTTCTTCTGGCCTACTTCCAGTGCCTGCATGAAGGGAAGTAGTAGGCCTCATTGTTTTGAGTAAGCACAATTCTAATTGCCAAGTAGTTTTTGCATGGCAGTTCACAAAAATCCTCCCCAGAGGTACCAGCCCTGTCACTGGAGCCAGAGCTTTCCCGTAGTCACCCAAAGGATGACTTCTGAGCCACTTCCTTGGACACATCAATTCTCCTTAGTGACTGACTTTACCCTGTGTAGCTGTGCTGTGTGTTATAACCCACAGAGCCGACATTCCTTCAACACGTAAGACAGCACGTCAGGCTTTTGGGGATGTCCAGGCAGAAACCGATAATGTCCCTGTACTTTGTCCCTGCAGCACTCATGCCATGGTTGAATTTAAACAGTCCTGTAACTGTCATCCTTGGTGCTTTCAATATCTTGAGTGTAATATTCCACTTGCTCTCCTGAGATCATTTGTGCACAAATTCTATCCAGGAACATGAAAATCACTGGATTTCCTTTCAACTATTTTAGGGTTTGGGTAGAACCACTAGACTTTTTGCTCAAGTATTGTTTTTTGATATAGATTGTTTACGGACCAGTTTGATTAGGCTTGACTCCAGGTGGCTCGTATTGAATAATGTAATGTTCACGTGTATATACTGTAAAAATCAAATGAAAATGTGTGAATAACACTGTGTGAAATATATCTGGTCTTGCGTTTTTCCTGTAGGAAACCAGCCATATTCTCAGTTATGTGAATTAACTGTGACTGTGGAGGTCAGCTCTGGGAAGGTGCTCACTCACTTGTTCTGATGGGAATTGGGCAGTTATTGAAGAACCCTGGATTAGATCATTAAAATTTCAGAGGGCAATTTTGAGCAGCTAAACCTTCCTGTTTTATACACCATCTTTGCTGACTGCTAGTTAAGGCTACAGCCTGGTAACAGTTTCTGTGTACATCCCTGGATCCAGGATGAGTTCTGGAGCATTTGAGAGTGTTAGCTTTCAAATGAGAGAAGAAATTGTTAGCTCTCTGTGGCATCCTTGAATCCACACTCATTTCTGTTACTGCCCAGGAGGTTCTTCTAAAGACCATTTTTAGCTGAAGGTGTGGAGTGAAGTGGACTGACAGCACAGGAAATGAGCCTGGTGGGAAATAACTCACCTAAGGGGCCCCTGTGGACAGAACAGTCATAATGCCCGTCCCTACATCCCTGACTTTTCCATCAGAGCATGGAGAAAATTGAGGTTTTGGGGTCATACTGCTCAGATGTTTAAAAATGCTGATGCAAATTTAGAAACCTATTTAGTTACTGTTCTCTCTTCTCTAAGGAACATGTATTTGAAGAGGTACTTATGGCTCACCACAGCATAGTAGTCCAGCAGTGGGGTTGGCCTCCATGAGAATGTTGGATGCTCAGCATTCCAGTAACTCAGAAAGCGGGTTAACAGTGGGGTGACAACAGCTACCACCATGTGATTTGGGGAAGTAAAGTTGAGAGAAGGCAAAACAATTTTAATACCTAGCAACTGGTCATTGAAACTGCAGGTTGCATGTAAGTCAGGCACCTGGGAGGAAGATTCAAGGCAAACTGCAGAGCAGCACTTTGCCCCTGCAGTCAGGACAGCCACAGCGCTCCAGTGCGAAATTCTGCATGGAGCGGTGCCCGAGCGTGGCGTGTCCTGAGAGTGGCAGATCCTGCCCTCGTGGTGACAGTTCTCTGCTGCTGCTTGAGGAAGGAAAGGGGAGCACCATGAGCTGTCTGACCTGAGCTGTCACAGCTCACTGCAGGGCAGGAGTGGCTGTTGGTTTGTTACCACAGCAGTTCACATCGTACCGAGCTGCCAGCTGAAGTCTCATCAGTCTGTGGGCAGCACTGATGTGATGAGCTACAGGCAGTGCTTTACTCAGCCCAGACAGTTTCAGATACACAGGCGCTATCTGTGCCTAAAGGATGCTGACTGAAGCACCTCTTGGCTTGGGAATGAGGAAGCTTTGTTCCTGTCAAGGATATATCCCTTCTGGGGCTCTGCTTGGTTCCTGATGTTGGGCTAGGGAGGTGTGGGAGAACTTGGCAAGTGTTGTTCCTGCCACCCAGGAAGAGACAATCTGAGAGATGCTTCAGAGTGAGCCTGGGGTGTTAGCTCTCTGTGCAGCAGAGAAGCCCAAGCCTCCCCAACTCCATCACAGAAGGGGTTAAAAACCAGCATTATTGTCACAAGAAGAGTCACTTATGGGAAGGATGGAAGGATGTCCATCCATCCAGTGTTGACAGCTCTCCAGAGCCGATAGAGGACATGGGCTTTCCTGAGCTGGTGCAGGAAAGGAGATGTCTGCTTTAGCCAGAAGAATGAACCAGATACCAACATCACACGTGAGGTGTCAGAGCACAGAGGCTGTGGGGTGGGGGAGCAACCACCCTGCATCGAGGCAGGGGCGGGTAGGGAAGACCAAGCTAAAAGATTTAACAGAGCTGCTGGTGCTCCTCAGTGTGGTGGTGCACAAGGATTTCCTCTGTTGGATGGAGCCTGCTCCCTCTGCAGGCTCACTCTGTGGTCAGGGAACTTGCCCAGCAAACGAGATGCTTGAATTAGTTTCCATTACCAGCCTCGGGGTTTTGAACCCACCTCCCTCACTTCACAGGCATTTTCCTAACCACAAGGAGCTGGGCGGGTTTACTTTCTACTCCTGAATTTGGGCTGGGCTTTTAGCTCAGCTTGAACCATTCATTGCATCACAAAGAGCACAAGATGGAGCATGACTCCTAAGGCACGCAGGTGGGAGTTGTTAGGTTCGGCACCTGAGATCCTTGTCTCCACCTCGATTCTCCCAGACTCACTTAATGCAAAATATATCTTGGGAGCAGCATTCCCCCATCATTATCAGACTGGAAACTTTCCAGAGGCTTTATAAAAAGCAGCTGAAATGCAGGAAGACCTATTCTAAAGACCCTCTTCCTTTCATTAATAAGAACAAACATTGGAACAAAACATCTGCCTTCTCACCAGCATCAGTACTCTGGGCACAGGAGTCTTCCTCTTCTCCTTGTACAGTGCCTGCCCAACCCTAAACTCCTCAGGTTTGCTCTGCAAACGAGCTGGGGCACATTGCAGGTGACACAGCTGGTGCACGAGACCATCGGACAGGGAAAAACCCCTTACATAGCTGAGCCCTAATGAGCTTCGTCTGAGCTTCAGACCTGCCTGGAGGGTTCAGATTTCCTGGCAGCAGTGCAGCACCGCAGCCCTTCCTCAGCGTGGCTTCTGGATCTTTTCCCAGCCCAGCCTCGGGGAGCGAGGCAGCCCTTCCCCAGCACAGCGGTGCTCAGGTGGTGGAGGCTGTGGGGAAGGCTGCCTGCTTGTCTGCTGATCACAGGACAGGTTCACACGCCTCAGTTTCACAGACACTCGCTGCAAGTCCTGGCTGTGGATTGTACCCACAGCAGCACAGAGCTGCCCCAGTACCTGACTGCCACAGAGGAGCGTCGCTGGTGGGGACTGGGAGGAATTGGCCAAGCCTGCTGAGGTCCCTCTCCTTACAGGTGATGTTGGCCGTGCCTTCTCAGGCTGCAAGGCTGCTGTCTGCTCCTGTCAAAGGGCTTTCCTCAGTTCTGGGGAAGCAGAACAGTTGTAGGTGTCAGGTCCCAAAATAAAGATCCCAAAGACTTACTTAAGTGCTTACTGAGGGCTAATGGAACCTAAGAAGTGAAGTGTTATGGCAAGGGAGCACACACAGGTGGTGGCAGAAACACACAGGTGGTGGCAGAGAGCACTAGCCAGCCTGGCTAGCAAGGGAGATTGTGACAGCACATTTCACAGCTATATTCTCTTCTCCCAGATATAGACACCCTATTCCTGGTCTAAACCAGAGGAACAAAAATTAGAGATTCCCCGGTGGGAATGAAGACCTCTTTTTTCTCCCCTCTATAATCCTTTACCTCCCTTTCTCTAAGAGAGCTAAAATACAGCATCAGAAACTATTTCCATTCCTCCTCACACAGGATCAGTTCAGGAGGAGAGGTTTTAGGAGGCCATCTATTCATACAGGCTGGATCTTGGAGAAGGATTCAGCCCCATTGCCTGGGCTCAGGTTTGGTGGGTCTGCCTAGATGCTGTTCCTTGCTCCACAGCTGTGTGTGAACTGGATCCAGAGGCTGGCACAACAATTGGAGCAATCGCTCAATAAGCAAGAATCAGAGGGCTGAAGCTGAGCTGAGGAGCTGAGGTTGGGCAAACTCAGTGCAAATCACAGAGTCAATTCCAACCCCTTGTTTGGAGGGATGGGATGAATGGAGCAGAGTTCAACCCTATCAGAGGTCCAAGCTATACACTGATCTCTTTCAAGTGAGCCATTTGGCTTTTAAAAAGCCTTTTTGTATGAAAACTCACCATCTTAAGTACTCCAAAATTCACATGATGTCTCCTGTTTCCTTGAAACATCATGTGTCTCATGAGAACTAAGGGTTTGATTATTCATCCCAGTTTGGCAGACATACAAGTTCACATCCTGCAGGGAAAGGGTCTGTCCTGCAGCCCTTCCCCATGTGCCCCTCGGCCTTCAGCCAAAAGCCCAGATCTGATCAGGGTGTTTAAGGTGACCCAGACCATATTTCTGTGAAGTGCTGCACAGCCCCCACTGGCCCACTGGAGAAGGGATACCCCCACAAGGGCCATGCAGCTACACCCCACCAGTGAGGCTATGGGGGAAATAGTTGAAAACCCACTTGTGTTTAAATGTGGACACTTCCAAGCAGAGTCATACACTGGGAACTGATCCTGTTGCACACTTAGGGATCTGTGCCATTGGAGGGACCCTTAAACGTCCAAGACACCTGGGCATGGAAGGGCAACATTCCCTAGGAGCTTACCTCACCAAACCTTCTCTTCCAGCAGAAGGTCTTAGATGGCACTGGACACCTTAATATACACAGTGACTCTCTTCATCTAGCACGTACCAGAAAACAGCAAGCAACATTTTATAAATCAGTGGTTAAATCATTGTATCATATATCATATGTATCATATGTATCATATAAATCAATGGTTAAAAGAGGGAGGAAGGGAAGCGAGGGACAAAACAAACCAAAGGGTTTGTTGGGGGTGGGAGAGAGAACAGCTTAATACTGAAGAATGGAATAGGATGAGAGGTGGCAAAAGAAAGCATCTACATTCACACACACACAAAGCTACTGTAACCACAGTGTAATAAACCATAAGGACCTTTTGGATTACAGATAATGGGAGAAAGGGAGGGGAAGGCAGAAGGAGCACCTTGAAAACCAAATGGTATTTTTAAAAAGTACATAATATAGTAATAATAGTAAAGAGATGCTTTATGCATTGCAAAACCTTCATTTCAGGCCTCCCTGTAGAGTATAGCTAATTTCACAGTCACCTAAAAGAAACCAAACTAAAATAAAGGAAGCAAAAGAGCATAAAATATGAAGCAATTAAAATATCTGTGTTCACCCTGCCAAAGTCAGTGCATCAGGCACACGTGCCACACTAGACTTAAACCCACAGCTTTCTCTTCCCTACAGACATGCAGGTCAGCAGGGCAGGAACCCCCCCACCAAGGGGTTACAGCCCTTGCTTCCCTCCTTCCCTCCAGCTCCTCACCCATCTGTGTGCCCCACAGTGCCCCTGCCCTCATCCCTCTGGCCCTGTGCCTGTCTCCCAGGTGCCCCCATGGAGGTGGTTCACCACCAGGAAGGTGCTGACAGGGAGACACTCGGGCACAGCTTGGTCTCTGCTTCAGCCTTGCACCTGCGCCATCCCTGCAGCACACGAGCACCAATCTACCCGGGGTAGGGGCATCCCCACCCCCAGGAGCTGGGGAAAGGCTTCTCTTAATGATTGCATGAGAAGGGCCAGGGTGAGGGATGAGACAGGATGGGTGGGATGGGTGGGTGAATCAATGCTCTGACAGCCAGGGCTGGGAGGGACTTGCACCGCCTGGAGGGCTTGGCCAGAAGTGACTGCACCCAGCCCTCAAGACAGCCAATGTGTGTGGAGGGGGGTAAGTGGCCTTGAAATGCTAAATGAAGGATGATAATTGCAGCAAGATGCATCCGTTTGGTTAATCAGGAAGAAAACCTGTATGTTACATCGTATCAGTTTCACAGCATGGTCACCACTGGGAGGAAGAAGAAATGTAAAACCTGTGGCTGGCCCCAGAGCCATCACTCCTCAAGGACCCTCAACCAGTCTGAGATCCAGATCAGCTCAGCTCGATGAATACATAAAAAAGCAACTGTACATTTTACAATATTCTAAGCAGCTGTTACTGAAATGGAACTAAAATCTCTGATGCAGCCTAACCCTGCTCTCACAACTGCTCTGCTGCAGCATCTGCTTCTCCCAAGACCAGCTTTTTTGCATACGTAGGAGTACTAAACCTGCTTTGGCAGAATTCCTGGAGTTAGACGTGCTTACTCAAATTCTCCTTGTAGAAGAAACACCTAACTCAAGACATTTGGCTGTTTAAAGGTGACAGCCTTGAAACTTACAGCCAACATGTTTCATGTGGACTGAATACTTCTGTATTTTGGTTAAAACACTTTCATTTTCTCCTTCGTTTGGAACTCTTTAACCAGCAGTACAGCTCTGGTTTGTGCAAAAACTGATAGCTAACTTCAACAGTATGTTGTATATCTGGTATGGTCAGAGAGGAATGGGGACCACATTCCACAAGGAGAACTTCATTAAAGTTTTGTACAAGTTATTCAAGCATAATCTATCATAAGACAGAGCATAAGCCTCTATCACAAATCAGGACAGCAGAGCAATAACAGAGAAAATAGAGGCCTTTGACAAGAGAGTATAACTCATTCGATCTGGAGTCCCCATCTCTCCCAGGCAAATAATGGGTCACTGTGACACTGCCAGAGCCAGCTGTACAATTAAAAATACACATATTGTATTGTCATAGCACTTACTGAGGTACTATAAAGGCACTAGGTATCACAGTTCCTGTTTTGCAGGGTGGCAGGCAGCTGTGCAGGGTCCAACTCCTCTCATGGTCAGAGGGTTTGCAACTCAGACAGTCTGAAAAACTTCTCAGCACCTCCCCACTGAATGCACTGAAGAAAGCTCCTGTCCCCAGGGGGACCACAGGATGAATGAAACCTGCTCTGGAGGAGCGGGGCAGCTGCCAGAGGGAAAGGCAGCAGGTACCAAGCAGGGGGTGCTGTGGAAACAGGGTAGCTCTGTCCTCCCTCTGCTACTGGCCTTTTCTCCAAAGCTCCCAGCAGCCAGCTGCCTGTATGTTCCTGGGAGTCGTGATACCCTTCTCTTCATGCTCATTTTCATGCCAGGACAAATCCCATTCTGTGCTCAAATTATTCAGGATTACGGAGGTCAAGGGATCACGCAGTGCAAGCCAGCATGAGTCACCGTGAGTGAGCTGCCCTGAGCTGACCACAGGGGTAAATGCATCACAGAAAGACAGCAGAGCATCTCCCTGGGCAAGGGAAAGAACAACAAAAAAAGTGGTTATTCAGGTGAGTGCTTTAAGAAATAGCTGCTTAGTCCACAAGCTCTGAAAGTGGTGGGCCAAATGGAGCAGTGAAAGCAGCATCCAGTACTACAGGAAAAGGCCTCATTAAGAGGGAACGAGTCAGTCTTTTCTTGTGGGCAACACCCGTGTAACTTCAGGCTAATGGGAAACCCCTCCTAGGTTTTCATGCACCAGCCCCCAAAATCCAGTTCTGAGGCTCTCTGTAATGAGCATGCAGGATCCTTCCAAGCCCTCACATGCAGCATCAAAGCAATGCAGCTGCTTTTATTACAGCTGTTTATGAAAACTATCACAAAAGTGGCATGCCACTGCCAGCTGAGCTTCTGCCAAAGGAAGCTCTGCTTAATTAGGTCAAGAATTATTTGGTTAGTGGCACAGACCTATTTATATACAGTTTTCAGTGTCCACACAGAAGTTCTCACTAGCAGAACAAAGAGAAAGGAGATAGAGGAGAAAAAGGTCACCAGACTCTTGGGAGAGGCAGCCAAGTTGATTCAGTTAGCAACTATAAAGCCAACACTACAGCTACCCTGACACTTGGACCATTACACTTTGCATTGTTTAAGCGGGGGAAAAAAACCCTCAACCTCCGTTTTTTTACAACAAGGCTTATTCTTGCCCGAGTAATCAAGGTCATCCTTTCCATCGGAGAAGAAAGGAGAGCAGAGCGCACATTGCCTCAGGCAAACTTCACACTCCACACCTTAGGGTGGGCCACAGGGGAGTCTCCTTTGGTCTCTCCCTTCCTGGGAGTGAAAGCCAGGAGGCAGATGGAGTTGCTCAGAGATGTCTGACTCACTGCAAAGGCGGCCGGACAGAACAAGCAAAATCAGATATCACTGTGCAAGCAAAGTGGGTGCGTTCAGGTGATCCTGCTGCAAGTCACAGCTGCATGTGAAAGGGTCAGAATCAATTATTTCTACATCACTGCAAAAGGACATCCAAACCAAACCTCACAGGATTTGCTAAAGCATGCCAGGAGTTGGGAAGAGTTAAGTGTATTTGGTGGCACCAGCCTGAACAAAGAGAAATGGCCTGGTGAATAGGGGAGCCCTGTGTCAGGGGACCCAGAAGATGAGTAGAACAATGGCTGGATGCCAAATGTCACACGCTGGCAGACAAACTCTTGGTAATCTGAGGCTGAAGGTCCATCTTGCTTCCTCTTCAGACTCGTTCTAAATGTTTGTATTGGTCTAATGACTGGGTAGATTGCTCCTTTGTTACTGGAGTTAGAAAGACAAGGATGTGGTGTGGGCCATGGATAATAGAGGCACTGGCCTGAGTACAGAAAGGGGAAGAAGAAGAGAAGCTCCAGGCTAGCAGCAAATGAAGCTTTGCAAATCTTCCTGGTCTACAGTCTCCGAACAGGCCACCAGCCACACTGTCCTAACCTTCTCCTGCCTGTCTGGACAATCCTTCCTCTCCCATCTGCAGGTATTAGCTCACTGATCAAAGCTTCTTGTTGCCAGCTCACCATTCTGAGGCACCATCCATGGGAAAAGCCCTGATGTCAAAGGGACTGTCAGTGACAGTACTTTGCCCTTTCCAGACACCATCCCCTTTTTTGGGGTGTATCTCCCACCTCACTCTAATAAGTTTCTAGGGAAGATTGAATCTGAATGCATTTAACTAAATATATTTAACATCCTGTTACTGTCCCTTGAGTCCAGAGGCACCCTCTTTCCTTTCCTCTTCAGCAATCACCACACAAATTCTGGGTTTAACCTAAAGCCTTGCCTACACATTATACCTGAGAAGTGAAACAGGAGAGCTGTGGGTTTCCTGTTCTTACAGATCCCCTTTAGCCAACTGAGCTACCACATAGGGGGGAAAACAGACTTTGTCACAAAAGCAACAACAGAGAAAACGGCAATCATCACCTTGGAAGCCAACTACCTGAAGCCAAGCAGAAATAGCACATGTGAGCGGTGTCAACCCCAGCCAGTGGGCAGCCCGGACACTCAGAGCAATCTCAATATTTCCACATACTCTAACCTCCCACTGCGTGTTAGGGAATATATTTCTCTTCTCCATCCCAGGATGTCAGGCTGTAGCTGACATACTTAAACAAGTTTGTCAGCTGATGAAATCACTGAGATGTGATGTGTGAGTGTCTCGGTTTTGGAAGAGAGGTGTCTGCTAGGGAGGGCAGGAGCCTCCCTTGGAATGAAAATGTAGACCCTCTCCCTCCGAATTCTTATAATTATGAAATCAAGGGGCTTTCAGGCAGAGATCTGGGGATAGGAATAACAGTTCTTTACTAGTATAACCAGGCAAACAAACAACAATAACTACAGCATTAGCAAGAAAACAGAACCAGGGGCCCCGTGACAGCTTTCTCGGCTGAGACGGGATGGAGGAGAGGCTTTGTTTTCACAAACCCCTCGGGCAGTCCCGGTGCTCCTGCGGGGCTCTGAGGAACAG